CCAGCACCTCGGACCCCACTCGGGGGCCCGGGGCATGGAGAAGGGGACTGGACCTCTCTCCCACAACCAGGCACACTGCGCCAGCACTTTGGGCCCCACCCAGGGACCCAGGGCATGGAGAAGGAGACCAGATCACCCTCCCATAACCAGGCACACTGAGCCAGCACCTTGGAGCCCACCCAGGGACCTGGGGTATGGAGTCAGGGACCGGACCACCCTCCCACAACCAGACACCACATGCCAGCAGCTCGGACCCCACTCGGGGGCCCGGGGCATGGAGAAGGGGACTGGACCTCTCTTCCACAACCAGGCACACCATGCCATTACCTCGGGGACCACCCAGGGACCCAAGGCTGGGAGCCAAGAACCAGACCCTCCTCCCACAACAAGGCACACCATGCCATTACCTCGGGGCCCACCCAGGGACCCGAGGCAAGGAGAAGGGGACTGGACCTCTCTCCCACAACCAGGGACACTGTGCCAGCACCTTGGGGCCCACCCAGCCCAGAGGCATGCAGAAGGGGACTGGACCCTCCTCCCACACCAGGCACAAAACGCCAGCACCTCAAGGCCCACCTAGGTACCCGAGGTATGGAGAAGGAGATCAGACCCTCCTCCCACAATAAGGCACACCATGCCATTACCTCGGGGATCACCCAGGGAGGCAAGGAGAAGGGAACTGGACCCTTCTCCCACAACCAGGCATACCTCCAGTGCCAAGGAGCATGCCAAAAACAGCACCTCCATGTGGGTTGCCCACCACAGACACCACAATAACCATGGTTGCTGCAAAAGTGGCTAGACACCACAGCCACCATGCAGATGGTCCACCAACCACTGGAGTGCATTCACACAAGAAGAGTCACCACAGAGACAAAGAAAAGAAGAAGATGTCTCTTTCCACAAAACCCATTGCAGAGTGACAGAAGAAGCAGCTACTCTATGATAATATTGGGGGACCTGATCACATTGGACAGATCATCTAGGCAACAAGTTAACAGAGTAACCATTATTCTTTCAGAAGGAGAGAAGAAATCTAGGGCAATTGGAGGGGGGAGGAGGAGGGAATGGGGGAAGGGGAGAGGTTGGGCAAGGGGCATAAAGAATAATTATGATTTGTAACAATATATATGCTAGTAATATTGATTTAATCAACATATCTCAATTTTCAACCCCAAAAATATGTATAATTGATTTTGATTCAATTAATTAAAGAAAAAAAAAGAAATAATTTAAATCTTGAGCTTGCCTTTCTCAAAATAAAAACAAAGCATATTTAACCTAGCAATATTTATGCTGCTTTTCTCATTTTATCCCATTTTCTTTCATTCGACAGTGTGTGTAAGGTTTATTTTCCAGCATACTTTCCCATCCGCAGAGCTTTTCTGAGCTCTGTCCCCTCCCCTGTCTACCACACGTTCTTTGTTACTCAGGCTCAGCCTCTCCTGCCACATTCTTCCAGCTGCCTCTGGAGTTTCAGGCTCATTGTCCCTCGCTGCCTTGTTTTTCTCATTTTCTGTTGCCAAATCCAGAAACCTGATTTACTAATACAGGACTCCTAAGAAGTCAGGGGGAAAGGGAGGGGCCTGTGAAAAGAGAAACAAGACAACATTCTCTTTCAAATACAGATTTCCCAGGTTCCTGGTGACTCTTCTGTAAGTAAAGACTCTATCAGTGAGCACTAGGAGAGTCAGTTACAGGGATCCAGGCCACTGCCTTTGGTTTGTAAGACTCATAGACAGTTAGTTTAGATTTCTACAATGTCATAAATCACATTGATTAGTATTCCAAGAATTCTGAAACACAGGTCTATTTTCCTGTTACATAAAGAAGGAAAATCAATCTGACCAAGTTGTTTGTTAGCTGAAATTCTCAAAGTCTCATTTGCAAACAAAGAGAACTCTATTTTGAACTGACTTCTAAACAGTTTGTCAAGTCAGATTATTTAAGGAGGTAGATTGAACCATGAAATGAAATTTACTTCATTTCTCCTTAAAGAGTTTAAAAAGAGTAATCAGTTTTTAACTTATTTTTTTTTTTTTTGTATTGAAGGGGTTAGTCACAATTATAAATATTTTGGTAATCTTTTATATTTTTTAACTTAACATTCTACCATTTTATTCTCCAAAGAGCAAATCATAAATTACAATAGGGTATTAAAACTTATAAGATGTATATTTATTCATTAGTTTTTGAGGTTACAGACACTTGGGCAACAGTCAAAAAAAAATAAAATGATAAGGAAAATGTTATATCTGTAAGTTTTTGTCTTACAAATGGTATTCAGATTGATTAAAGTTATTTAATTTTTTTTTTTTTTGCTGGTAATGTCTGTCATTAAGGGAGTGATCCACGGAGATGTAGAATGCAGACAGGAAATTCTATAGCTGAGTGATGTAGATATTTATAATACAATTTTTTTTTTCCTGCAAGTTTCGGAGTTCTACATTGTTTCTATTATTTGGTGATCATACTAGGACAACATATACACTTAACTCCAAATTGAATCAATATCCTTACCCAGTTCTTGGATAATATAAGAATCTTAGAATACTTTAATACCTGATGTCTCCTCTTAATTTATATATCATTGTTTAATAATATATCAAACAATTATTTAATTATGTAACATAATATAATTACTATATTAATTATATATTATTTTAAAACTCCACAGGATGATATTGGTATTGTTTTATAAATTTATATATTTATAAGTTGATGTATTTTACAATGACCCACGTATTTACCATTTTGTTTCTTCTTCACTTCTCCTTTCACCTCCGACTTTTTATTTGGGTTTACTTTCCTTCTTACTGACATACGCCCTTTAGAACATTCTTCATTAAAATCTCTTGGCAGGGTTGGCTGGTTAGCTCTCTTGGTTAGACTGTGGTGCTGATAACACAAAGGTCTAGGATTCAGATCCTCATACTGGCCAGCCACCAAAAAAAAACAAAAGAAGAAGAAGAAGAAAGTGAAAACATGAACCACAAAGGGGAAAATGTGTTAAAAATGTCCTAACTGACCACTGTTGTTTCCAAAATTCATACAAAAGAACTTAAGTAAAACCTCTTGGCAAATGATCTTAATTTTTGTTTATTTGAAAGTTTTCCTTATTCTTGAAAGATACAGTCACTAGGTATAAAATTCCACTGGGCTGGTATTTTCATTGAGCATACTGAAAACATAACTGTAGTCTCAGCCATACCACCCTGAACCCACCCAATCTCACCTTAAAACATAAGTGCACTATTCCTGGCTTCCATTATTGCTGTAAAAAGTCATCAGTTAGTCTAACTTTCACTCTTTGAAAATAATCAGTTCTCCCTATAACCCCAGCCCCTAGCTGCTTTTAAGGTATTCTCTTTGTTTTGGGTATTCTATGTTTTTGCTTGGGTATTCCCAGTGTGTTTTCCTTTTTATTTGTACTGCTTGGGATATTTTGAGCTTCTTGAATATGTGACTTGGTGTTTCATTGGTTCTGGAAGCTATTTCCAGAAGGGGTGGGCAGCATCTTCAGTGCTCATGGAGCATTCTTCAACCTCCTCAGTATCTCGCACTACCATCTGGCTGGCTGGCTCAGGTATGGGTTCAGTTGTTATAAGCGCAACAATCGACCTGTTACCAGCAGATGGCTACCATGATACCATATTGGAATTCTGCACCTTCTCACAAATAGTGATTGTATATGGTTGTGGTACATCTATATTTTCATGCCACTGGGATGTCTCATGGCCCCTGTTTGGGGAGCGATACTATAATGATTAATGATAACAAAATTACCTTTGAGTTTAATGGCTGTTTCTTTTCACGTTTGCCATATCTGCTATTGTGAAAAGATAAAAAAATTGTGACCCAGTTATTTCAGGCCAGTTTTATAACAAACATTATCAAAATATGATCTTCAGAGCTCCATGCTTAAGATAGGAAACTGAACTGAAGATGATGCTAAAAGACAACACTCCACCTCAGACTCTCAATAGGAGCTGAGACCCAGATATGCCTCTCGAGGTACTTACACAAAAGGTTTCCTCTTGCATAAGG